TTTGGGTGGTGTTATGCAAATCTTCCCACACAGTGACGTAGACATGTGGGGGCGTGTTTAAACGAGGCGTTTTAGGAGGGCATGGACAAGTCTTAACTTTTATAAAGAATATCTCTTTAGGTTTTAGTACAAAGACTAAAGTCTTTGCAACTTTAGGGATCTTATCTATGCACGAACAGTTTGTAACACTCCCCCCCCCCATTTGAATTATAAGTGCCTTGTAAGCATTTCCTTCAGTTACTACATATAGGCTATATTCCCTGCACGTGACTCAAAAGTGAAAGTGAAAGACAGAAAGTGACGTTTCCTTTAAAACACGTATAAATGTCGCACCTCTCTGCTTGGCGCTGTTATTTCATACACATTCATGTGGATTTACCCGTCAGCGTTCCCTCTGAATTCTCCGGGACAAGTGGACATGCATATGCTCGTTAAATTGATTTTCATAATGGCGGCATATCAGCATAATATTGCCAGAGCAGAAGGTAAGTTTGGATCAACATTACGGGAAAATACACATTTACATGTTGAGTAAACATGAAGAGTGTTATTGCTTAACTGTGGACTCTACTATTAATAAATTTAATTGGTTAGCTAAAGCACGTTCTCCATGAATTAATAGGGCCTTTCTAGTAAAAAACCGAAACCACGTCTTGAAAAAAGAAACTAGAGATGGAACATTAACTTGAATATGGAATATGAAATAGTGAAAACCCATTCATGTGACAATCCCCTAGATTATGGAAATAATAATTATATTACTTGCAGCTTGCTTTTATTTATTTATTTGTTTGTTTGTTTAAATACCGAGCTTTTTTTTTAATACGTCTATTTATTCATTCATTTAAAAATAAGTTTAATTTTTTTGTTCATGCTGGGAATTGTGGAGAAATGGACAAATGCTGTTGGAGTAAATGCTGGAATAGAACAACATTTGAAGTGGTGAAATACACCATACAGATTAACTAACTAACTAACTAAATATAAGCTGTGTCATCACAAATGACATCTTGCTGTTAAAATGTGTGATTTTTAGTAAATAAAAAACAAATTTTTTCTCATCTAAAGTGGAACAGCCTATATATTGTTGAAAAAAGTGAAAAAGTCAATACATAAGTCAGTTAATACCATCTTGTTTTTGTATCATACATTAGATGTAATAAATTATGTATATTTCCTGAAAATGATTTTTATGTTCCTGAAAATGACTTCAACAGATTGCAAAAGCACATCTTTACTGCACAAATGCTCCCCCATATGTTTCCTTTCAAAGAATGATTAAGTTATACAAATTTAGCTCATACAAATTTAGATAACTCAGTCACTGAACATCAACACAGCTGGTGAGATAAGTACTATTTTGAGGTGATTTGTGGGTCAGGGCAGTATTTATTATATAGGTGTCAGATAGATATAAATAGTGTCCCACTGTTTCCTCATTCCATTAGAGGGGAAATGCCAAACCCCTCCAACTGTAACTTTAACCTCTCCCTTTTTAACAGATATGTGTACTATCTTTTCCAAAAATGTACTGAAGATCTTTTGCACCACAAATGTAGTCAAAGATTTTGTGCCATAATTATTTTATTTTATCGTATTATTTTATCTCTCCCTCTGACTGCTGGTTTGATTGATTTAAACAATGTGACAAGTTCGTTGTTGGTTTCATATAGTTTTGAAAAGCTTTGTATACCATCTTCAAGAAAAGTAAAAGGTGACATATCATGAAAATCAGACTTTTCCAGGTTTTAAGTGCTATAATCAGGTTCCCCGGTGCATCTACCAACCAAGGAAACGTGAAAAGGATTAACCAAGTAACTTTTGGTAAGCCTTTTTCTGCAAACGTCTGAAAAAACGAGCGGGTCTGATTTCGCTCCCTTGGTGACATGGCAAAGGGATCTCATTATAATATTACCGCCCCTTAATCTGCACGTTTCCACCCATGGCACCGTCATTTTGATTCGCAAGCGACAACGGTGTAATGCCATGGCAAAAGTTTGAACAAAACATGCTAACTCTTCTGTCTTTGGCTGCACAGACGAGCACAGAACACTATTTACAGTCCCAGCCTCAGAGGAGACAAGAGAGCAGTGGATTTATTGATTTATTTACTGTATATTGCTGCTGCCACATAGATCTAAAATAAACATGTGATTTATTTCCCAGCTGTTTACCTTCACAGACATGTGTAAACTTGTGTGTGAATGAGAACTTACTTTAGTACTCACATGCTGTCTGGTGGCCGCTTTCTGTCTGTGTGCTTCGGTTGTGTGCGCTCAGAAAACCATATATCAGAAGTTTAAAATGCTTGATTTCAGCACGATAAACATGATAATCAGAACCAAAACAGATGTTTTTTTAGCAGGTCTGAGCCCTGATGGCACAGCTCTATTCTGGAAAAGGGGGCGGGGAGCAGCAGCTCATTTGCATTTAAAGAGACAGGCCCGAAAAACAGCGTGTTTCTGCCTCCACTCAAAATAGGCATTTTCAAAATTATATAACAAATGATCTATGGAGTATTTTTGAGCTGAAACTTCACAGACACATTCTGGGGACATCAGAGACTTATATTACATATTGAAAAAAGGGGCATAATATGTCGCCTTTAAAATTTTTCATTTAATAACTATAAATATGTCATGTCATGTCTTATAACCATTAAGTAAAGCATAATAACATATTTTGCTTGTGACCGGGCGAGCAAAGATGCTAATAATACGTCAAATGAACCCCAGACAATTTTATTTTTTGTGTACTCAGGTTTATTTTTCTGCTGCAAACTCTGAAAGCAAAACCGACTGCCCCAAAAAGTCCCTTACAATGCATGTGAAATTAGTCGGTGCCAATACCCTCATGGGCACCGTACTGACATATAGCGTCGTTGCTCTTCAAGTGTCCTGAGTTCGAGTCCCAGCTTGCAGAACTTTCCTGTTCCGGACAGGGACCACGGACCTTTCCTGATCCCGTCCTCCCACTTCGCTTTCTGTCAAGATACTGTCCTATCATAATAAAGGCAAAAAAGCCAAAAAGTAAATGCATGTGAAATGAGAGTGTAACAACACTGGCGAGGGGTGCGTGGTTCAGTGAGGACTGCAGGGGGAGAGAGGGACAGGAAACAAGCAGTGAGTAAGTAGGTCAAGTGCAAAATGACAAACACCTGGTGTGGAAAGACTGGTTAAAAACCACCGAGAAACAGTGTACGAGAGGAGGGAGACTGACTGAGGAATTGTGTGTGTGTATGTGTGTGTGTGTGTGTGTGTGTGTGTGTGTGTGTGTGTGTGTGTGTGTCGAATGCTGAGAGATGCCTGTCGATTTATTTATTTTGGGACTGTTTGAATTGCAGTGAGTTTTGGAACTGTGAAAAGTTCGATAAAGATCACGAGCCTCAGGAAAACCGACACTGCCTTCTTCCTTATCTGGACTACGTTACAAACACGTAGCTAATGGCTGTGGAATTGATGTCTCGTCTGGCTTTACATTGTGAAACGGTCACCAAAGAATCTGTGGTGAAATGTGTACACAAACTTAATCTCAGACTAAAATAATCATGGATCGTTTCAAACTTTGAGATCCTTCAGATGTATATGCAGAGCTGTAGGTTCTACACAAACCCAGATATAGCACAGTGTATCACTGTGGGTGGGCCAAGTTTCTGATCACCTAATAGGTGTCATTTGTATGCATATCCACTTACCTGATGGCGGAAAGCTGAATTGTATTTCAAAATGTGAAATACAATACAATACAACTTTCAAATATTTTTCAAATATAACAAATATTTCTTAGTAAGTTAAACAAAACGTATTGTTTTTAACACACTTTCCATTAGGTCAAAGTTTTTACAGATCTTGATATGTGCAAAGATGTTGATGAATTTATATCTATCCATGAGTTTCTTTGTTTGCATATGTGATATTTTAGTGACATTGGTCTTACTTTATCCCAGGTGTCTGTGGAACCCCAAATCTGATACCCAACACAGTACCTGTGTCAGATTTACAATATCACATTGGTGTCAGAATTCGCATTCAATGTGCAGAGGGCTACGTAAGGAAAGAAGGAACATCCAGCCTGATCCGATGCACTGAAAAGAATGGCAGCATATCCTGGCACTCTGACCTTCCCCTAAAGTGCATAGGTAAGAGTCTTGTTTGTTGCAGAGATACTGGACAATACATTTAGTCATTTAGCAGACGCTTTTATCCAAAGTGACTTACAAATGAGGACAATAAAAGCAGTCAAAACTAACAAAAGAGCAACAATATATAAGTGCAAATGACACAATCTCGGTTAGCCTAACACAGTACACGTAGCAAGGTGTATATATATGTGATGAGTGGGGGCGGGGACGAGATCCGTGGGAACGGAGTGAGGCCGGTGGAGTAATTGATAATGAGCGACACCTGCACCACTCACCGGTTTCGAGTCCCACGGAGGCGCTCCGGAAGGATAAAAGGAGGAGTTACGACAGTGAAAGACGAGAGAGGACCAGGCCTGGATTTTGTTTTGTGTTTTGGTTCTGTTTGTGCGCGACAGTGAGGGGCTGTCACGCTATTTTGTGTTTGTTTATTTTATTAAAGATTTCTTTGAGCGTTCGCCGGTTCCCGCCTCCTTCTTCCCGAACTATGAACTTTGTTACAGGCTCATTAAAGACTAATCTTGCAGCGGCATTTTGGATTAATTGTAGAGGTTTGATAGAAGTGGCTGGAAGTCCTGCCAAGAGAGCATTGCAATAGTCCAGCCTGGACATAACAAGAGCTTGAACAAGGAGTTGTGTTGCATGTTCTGAAAGAAAGGGCCTGATCTTCCTAATGTTGTATAAAGCAAATCTGCAGGACCGGGCAGTTTTAGCAATGTGGCCTGAGAAATTCAGCTTATCATCAATCACAACTCCAAGGTTTCTAGCTGTTTTTGAAGGAGTTATGGTTGATGAGCCTAACTGGATGGTGAAATTTTGATAAAGTGATGGGTTTGTCCACAAGCAGTTCTGTCTTAGCCAGGTTGAGTTGAAGGTGATGGTCCGTCATCCAACAAGAAATGTCTGTTAGACAAGCTGAGATGCGAGCAGCTATTGTCGGATCATCAGGATGGAATGAGAGGTAGATTTGAGTGTCATCAGCATGGCAGTGATATGTATTGATATATGATATATTGATATGATATACATTACATGACTGGCGTGCATGACATGTCCGCCCCCTTGTTTTTACTTTAGCTAAATCGTAAACTTTCAAGTTGGTCCAAGCACAAAGTCACACAGAAACACAATCCTTCTTGCTAGAAGAATGTGTTGTAAAATTGGCGTAAAATATCAAACATGTTCAAAAACTTACTTAAAAAGAGGTAAGTTTGGATCAACATTACGGGAAAATACACATTTACATGTTGAGTAAACCTGAAGAGTGTTATTGCATAGTGCACACATTATGCTAAGGTTCAGCGTTACTGCTTAACTGTGGACTCTACTATTAATACATTTAATTGGTTAGCTAAAGCACGTTCTCCATGAATGAATGGGGCCTTCAAGTAAAAAAACGAAACCACATCTTGAAAAAAAGAAACTAGAAAAGGAACATTAACTTGAAAATGGAATATGAAATAATGAAACCCATTCATGTGACAATCCCCTAGATTATGAAAATAATAATTATATTATTTGCAGCTTGCTTTTATTTATTTATTTGTTTGTTTAAATGCAGAGTGTAATAAGATTCAATAAGATGAAGGACGAGGAAGACAGGGGTGGCGAGTAAAACCTTTTTATTTACTCAGCAAATAATAAACAAAACAAAATAAAGTGCTGCCAGGCTTTCTGCCTACAGTCTCTCACTGACACACACTGTCACGATAAAAGGACCCAGAAGCAAAGGCAAGTCAAACTGAGGATTTTATTGTCCACAAAAACTAACTCAGGCAGTCTGCCGTTCACTGGCCGTATCCGGCGGTTGCAGAACTGGTCATTAACACAAAAGAACTGGAACATAAGGTAGACTTGACTTGAGAGTTCGGGGCGCCACCCCGGGCTGCTGGGCGAGGAGCGACTACCTCTCAGACTGTACGGACCTGTAGCGAACTGCTGACAGCGGGTAACTGGGAGACTGGGCAGAAATCCAGGTAAGTCACACAACAGGACACAACTTGACAATGCAGGACTGGACTCGACTTAGATAACACAACTGACAGAATAGAGTAGCCAAGAGACTGATATCGAAGCGCAATAATCTGGCAAAAGACCTTATAACACACAGAGAGAAATAGAGTGGAAACAGGTGCAGTCCCAATCAGCGTGACTGGCAGCCTGCGCCTTCTTGTCTTACATAATGCATTGCGCACCCTCTTCCAGGTACGTCGACAGCATTTGATAAAGGCCTGGACGGAGGGGACGGAGACTTCGGATTCTTGAGAGGAGAATAGTGGCGGTTGGTAACCTAGACAACAATTAAATGGAGATAACCTGGTAGATGACGATGGTAATGAATTATAAGCGTATTCAGCCCAAGGCAGCTGCTCACACCAGGAAGTGGGGTTGTGAGCGGCTAGAGTACGGAGCAAACGTCCCAAGATCTGATTGACGCGTTCAGCTTGCTCATTTGTTTGTGGGTGAAATCCTGACGACAGACTGGCCATAGCTCCAATCTGCTGACAGAATTCCCTCCAGAACTGAGAGACAAATTGTGGCCCTCGATCGGAGACTATGTCAGAGGGTAGCCCATGGATTTTAAAAGCGTGATCAAATACTGTTAGCGCCGTCTCCTTAGCGGAGGGGAGTTTGGAACTCAGGCAGTCTGCCGTTCACTGGCCGAATCCGGCGGTTGCAGAACTGGTCATTAACACAAAAGAACTGGAACATAAGGTAGACTTGACTTGAGAGTTCGGGGCGCCACCCCGGGATGCTGGGCGAGGAGCGACTACCTCTCAGACTGTACGGACCTGTAGCGAACTGCTGACAGCGGGTAACTGGGAGACTGGGCAGAAATCCAGGTAAGTCACACAACAGGACACAACTTGACAATGCAGGACTGGACTCGACTTAGATAACACAACTGACAGAATAGAGTAGCCAAGAGACTGATATCGAAGCGCAATAATCTGGCAAAAGACCTTGTAACACACAGAGAGAAATAGAGTGGAAACAGGTGCAGTCCCAATCAGCGTGACTGGCAGCCTGACAGGTGCGCCTTCTTGTCTTACATAATGCATTGCGCACCCTCTTCCAGGTACGTCGACAGCATTTGATAAAGGCCTGGACGGAGGGGACGGAGACTTCGGATTCTTGAGAGGAGAATAGTGGCGGTTGGTAACCTAGACAACAATTAAATGGAGATAACCCGGTAGATGACGATGGTAATGAATTATAAGCGTATTCAGCCCAAGGCAGCTGCTCACACCAGGAAGTGGGGTTGTGAGCGGCTAGAGTACGGAGCAAACGTCCCAAGATCTGATTGACGCGTTCAGCTTGCTCATTTGTTTGTGGGTGAAATCCTGACGACAGACTGGCCATAGCTCCAATCTGCTGACAGAATTCCCTCCAGAACTGAGAGACAAATTGTGGCCCTCGATCGGAGACTATGTCAGAGGGTAGCCCATGGATTTTAAAAGCGTGATCAAATACTGTTAGCGCCGTCTCCTTAGCGGAGGGGAGTTTGGGAAGGGGGACAAAACGGGCCGCCTTGGAAAAGCGATCAATGACTGTAAGAATTACCGTGTTACCCACGGAAGGAGGCAGACCCTTAACGAAATCCAAAGCGATGTGCGACCAAGGACGAGACGGAATAGGGAGGGGGCAAAGCAGACCGGCAGGCGGGGAGTTGCTAGACTTAGATTGGGCACAGACTGGACACGAAGCTACAAAACGGCGTACATCACGGACTAAAGCGGGCCACCAGAAACGTTGGCAGACAGTAGCTTGAGTCCCTCGCACCCCAGTTTGCGCAGCGAGCCTGGAGGTGTGACTCCAGCGGAGAACAGCTGGACGCATGGACTTGGGAATGAACAATTTACCCGTCGGACAATCTTGAGGAATAGCGACGCAAGCAAGGGCCCTCTTTACCTGCTGTTCGACTCCCCAGACCATGACCCCGACCACACGACCATCAGGCAGGATAGTCTCTGTGGATGAGCCGTCCTCCGAAGAACCGAACTGATGAGACAGAGCATCAGGTTTAGTATTCTTAGAACCTGGTCTGTTGGAAATGGTAAAGTCGAATCGTGCAAAGAATAGAGCCCACCGTGCCTGTCTAGCATTTAATCTCTTAGCCGAACGAATATATTTGAGATTACAGTGATCAGTCCAAACTACGAATGGATGGGCTGCCCCCTCAAGCCAGTGGCACCACTCGCCTAGTGCCAAACGAATGGCCAGGAGTTCGCATTTACCTACATAGTAGTTATGTTCCGCTGGCGAGAGACGGTGAGAAAAAAAGTGCACGGGTGGACCAGGTCGTCCTGTGGAGAGCGCTGCGACAGCACCGCTCCCACCCCGACATTAGACATGTCAACCTCCATTATGAATTGTCTAGTAGTATCGGGAGTGATAAGAATAGGGGCGGTTGTAAATAACCTCTTAAGACGGTCGAAGGCTACTTGAGCTGCTTCAGACCAAGAGAAACAGGCCTTGGTCGAAGTGAGGGCGGTAAGGGGACAGCAAATTGACTGAAATTCTGAATAAAGCGACGATAAAAGTTTCCATTCATCTCCCTCCTTGATGCGCACCAAATGATATGCATTGCGAAGGTCTAATTTTGTGAAAATCTTTGCTCCCTGCAAGGTCTCGAAAGCCGACGACATAAGTGGCAATGGGTACCGGTTCTGAACAGTTATGTCGTTCAACCCACGATAATCTATGCAGGGACGCAAAGAACCATCCTTCTTTTTCACGAAGAAGAACCCCACGCCGGCGGGAGAGGAGGAGGGAACAATAGAACCGGCGGCCAGCGAAGCTGCAAAGTATTTCTCAAGCACTTCGCGTTCGGGGGCGGACAAGGAATAAAGTCTACCATGATATCACGATGTGGTGTACTACCCGGAAAAAGATCGATGCTGCAGTTATACAGTCGATGGGGAGGGAGAGAAGCAGCCCGGGAACGACTGAATACCATTCGCAGATCGTGGTACTCCTTCGGGACACCAGATAAATCG